CATCTCTAATGCCCACCACAGTCGCTCAACTGCTCAAGGTTGCCGCAAGTCAATTCCTCCAACAAGACCGAATTTGACACTCTAACGGCATTTCAAGAGTGAGAGAGACAGAGACAGAGAGAGAAAGGGGGGAAAAAAAGAAGAAAAAAAGCTTCCCAGCTCCGGTTGGAGAAACACGGTACATGAACGGATGGAGAGCGCACAACAATATCCAGTCAGATCAGCGAGGCCTGCATGCGAGGCGAGAGCAGTAAACGCTCATATGCCGTAACTCTGATCAATGTTAAACACTCCCTGGGGAAGACTGAGAACCATTATCTGCTCGGCTGGAAATAATTCCAATTCTTTCTTGGTTTTTTTTTTTTTTCTCCACGATTTAATTCCCACGTTGCGTGTCCGTCTTCCTCTCCAGCATCATCTGTGAGAGCCAGTGCTTTTGTCCAGGGGAACAAATGGAGTCAACAGACAAATACACCTGATACAATAGCAAAAACCCACTGGGGAAATGGATGCTCAATGCCTGACTATTTGCAGCAGAAGGGCTTACAATGGTGAGGTACATATACATGTATATATACGTAGACGCATGTTGAAATCTGCATTTACACCTTGTCACCAGTGTATTTCTGTAATGGTGTGCACGTCACTCCATGTCATGCCTGGATTAACATCAGCACGCAATGCTCTCGGTGTGAATTTAAAATGGACGCTCTCCAAACTTCCCACACAAGAGATATCATACGGTAGGTTCAAACTTCACATGTCACAGCTCAGCAAGCTTTGAATGTATATCTGACCTCCATTTCTGGCCAGGCAGAATATGAACGATCCAAGTTGGCTAAGCAAAGCCTCCTGCACAGCGGTTTCTAAATGCACACAATCTGCTCCCCCCCATTAACAATTCTATGACAGAAAAGTCCACCAACACTCCTCCAAGGGGGCAGATCCCAGGGAAATGGTGTGGGAGTAATGCATGTAGCAATGCCCAAGGTCATGGTACATGTAAATTTTTTAAAAATGATACAAAAGAAAAATTATTCTTCCAAGGTGAATCTGCAAGGTCCATACATGTATTCATGAGGGTCCTTCAGTACACAGTGTGGTAGCCATCTTTGATTTCTTGTAATGCATGCAAGGCGATGTGGGCCACCTGCAAAATGTACATGTACATGCTAAGCAAATACATGTAGCTGTAGGGAACCAGTCAAGAGCAATAGCCATCATGGGGATTTTGGTTGGTAACCTACTTTGTTGAGGCAAGTCTTTTCTGCACCAAAGTGACTTCCTGACCTTTCAATATGGGTTCCAAATTATAAGGATCTTCACGACCAGCATTGTTAACCTTACAGCCAGTCTTTGTAAGGAGCAAGAGAACAAGGCAGATATGGCAGGCGGCCAAATCGCATCACATTCCATCAACAAACTGCTATCTAGACCCTAAAACTGCAAATAGCAGCCCAAACTCACTTCAGGGAACAAGACCAATCTAATGGCCTGATATCTGAAATATCTGAAAGTTACAAGTTCTTCCAACCAACAGACTGGTGCCTACCATCTGGTGGCCAAATGGCTGACAAACCCCAACCACACAGACAAAAGCAAGACCGCGATGGCGAGTCAAATTATACCCATGTACATGTACATATAGGTTGATCAAGTCACACTATGCTGTGGTTCCTCTTAACTTACCAGTACAGCACCTGCACTGTTCAAAACACAGCCAGGTACACTGTACTTCACTGTTAAAGATCCAGTATAAACTACAAGGTGTCTACATTTACCAGACTGAATTACTGAAAACCACACACTTCCTGATTGCTCGACAGCCCCAAACTCCTCAACTAAGCTACAGCTGTCCATCAAAACTCTAGCACAAAAGAACTCCAGCGAGTAAAGTCTTCAATTCACATTCCACATGTAATGAATAGCAAGACAGCCTTGCAAGGGGGGGACCCATTGCTTAAACGATTTGGTAGTTTTATTTCCAAAGAATACCAGTGCAGGTTCCTTTTTTATATGCCAGGGACAGTAGGTGTAGCTTGGTGCACATCCAATATAGGGCGAGAAGTGCAGACACCATGCATAATTTGTTGGACACAGAGTGGTTCTCCCAGTTTGGATAGGTGGTTACCACCTCAGTCTCAGGCACAGGGTCGAATGCGGAGTACCAGTGAGATGATGTCACACGTATAACCAGGCATCCTTTTCTTTCTATGCACACCTCTCTGGCACCAGCTTGACCCTCTGACACTTGTTCCCAGATCAAATAAACAAGAGCTGAAACCACACCAAAGCAGACGTCACATGACAAAGACACAGCTCCCCCACAGCAAATTAGGTTTTACAAAAAGAAACACAAACTAATGCTGACGTCGTCCCGTTTGGTTTATTTTCCTTTCTTCCCACAAGAACTCTGGTTCCCAAGGTTGTCCATTTCCCATGCTGATTTAGAAAGGTAGTTTTAACTGGCCTGATATCACACAAGGTTAGGGCATCCACCCTTTCACACTTTTTTAATCCAGAAATGGCCCTGACGATAAAATGCAGTAACAACGAACTCAAACAAACGGCAACCATTTCTGAAATTTGCAATTCGTCAAATTTGTCACTTTTCCACTTTTCCTGAAAACCAAATAAAAACACAAACTACAACACTCACAATTTGTTCAATACCATGGCAATATCAAGTTCAACCTTTGCAGGAATCGGTATTCTGGTCGATATCTCACCATTTCATTTGCACATATTATAAACAACACTCCAACAGAGACAAGACCATGCAGATAACAAAAATAAAAACCCACGAAGTCAGTGAATTTGAACCCCAAAAATTCTAAAAATGTTTCCCAAGCACCCTTTGTTTATTCAGTTCCTCTGGCCAGCTCAAAGACGTGAAATCTTTCCCCTCTTCCAACATCTACAACCATCAAGATATAATCCCTCCCAACTCACTCTCCAAACAGTCTCTCCATTTTTATGTCCAGAGCTCTCCAGAACACCGATGGAAAGCTCTCCAGACTTATCCGGTCACTCTGCCATTAAAAAAAAAATCCCAGATATCGGTTGGCACAGGAATGTCCATTAAATAAAAAGCCACCTTCAGACATTTCCTAGCAAATCACCCTTCCCTTATTTGTAGAACAGTTATTCTCCGGCCAGCTGTTTTAAGTGTAAAATATGGCAGCTGAACTATTTCACAAGTACACACCACTCAACATGTTATTCTAGGAGAGACAAAAAAAATGGTTGGCTTGGTATGGCATTCACACAGCTCAAAACAGGTCTTGTTAACTTAAAACAAGATCTGCATGTTTAGGCTTTCTCTCTTTTTTTTTTATCCACGATGGTGACTCTTTACGACCCACACAAATGCTCTTTGTGGAGAGGTTCCCATCATTACGCCAGTCGTAATTGGCTTTCTACAGGACTTCCCAAACACAGCTTTGTGAAAGACCTTGCACGACCAGCGCTGACTCAATGACGCAAGCAGCCAGGAACCATGCTCTACTTGTGCCAATTGTACCCACTTGGAGTGTTTTGTTTGCTGGTGTGACTGCGTTTTTCCTCTTTCGTGGATCAGGGAAGGGGGGTGAGATACTGCATACAGTCTATAAACCAATACTAAGTGGATAAATAAACTTTTCCTTGATTGATTTTGGATCCGCACTGCCCTTTGGTGAGCAATAACAAGTTTCAATCTCAAACAATAATTAATTTTTTTTTTTTTTACAAAATCAATTCAACCAGGAGTAATCATGGTAAGCTTCATCCTGAAGCATGGGTCAAAATTTCCTTCGGACAATGCAACACTATTACACAATGGACCACACAAAGCTGCATCATTGTGCTAAATACTTTGATTCATTTCAATTCCTCTTTGCTTTGCTCCAAGGATACAAACTCCCTATCGTTAAGGTCTGTCTCTCAGCAACATCAACATCAAACCGCATGTTATAGGATTTGTTCACAGGTGATGCGAATACAAACTGTTCACAAAACACTCGCTGGTTTTGCAAGAAACCGGTACAAAAACAAAACGGTAACAAAAATCCAGCCCCCCAAAAGAATGAGATGACACACCTGAAGTCACGTGAATATAAAACATCCCATGACCCCTCTCCCTGCCTGGAGCAATCACATCCTATTTTTGGTAACGATTCACGATATTATTGATTTGCATCAACGCACAAAGAAAAGTGGAAAAAGCTTGAACAAAAGTCACATAACAGCTGAACCATTGCTAGGCAAATAAGCAGATTTGCGGGGCTAGTCGATAACTTTTCACTCAGTGGAAAACCGTTTCACACTGAGGGCACGCCGTTAAGTAGAAACTTCAAAATCAATATGACTGAACCACAGGATATGACATTTTGCCAGAGTTTTCATCTGCCGGGGGGGGGGTTTGGGGAATGCAAACATTTTTTGGAGTTTTCAACTGCTACCTCCAAATTAAAGCCATGTGTGACATGAACTGTTTTCAACTGCCTGAGGGTTTCATTAATAAGGTTTTTTTTTTCACTCATACTAAGTATGCCCCAAGAGGAGCAAAAAATCTGACAAAAATCTGTAAATTTGACAGTCATTTGCCCTTCCCAACATCGTAACAGCGACATTTCCCCAACTCAAAGAAAAAAAAACCTGGGTTATCTTTCTTGCGTTCACAGAATCCAAAAAATGTTGACTGTTTTAAGCCCATTAAACCAGAGAGGCTGAAGTTTGTACACATATGTACTCTGGAAGCCCTTGGTTCACATCCACCTAGGGTACCACATGGATTTTTTTTTAACTCGCACTTGATGTTAAGGTCAAATATTATGGAGTTGTCCATCAAAAAAAATCATTGGCGGGTAGCCTGATTTTCTTTTTTAATACTGCAATGCTTGCTGATACAATGTTGGGAAGAAACAATTTCAGCAGTTCCACAGTTTCTGCAATACGCCTCCCCCCCCAAAAAAAATTCCTGTCAGGAGAGAAGAGATGCACCCAAAAAGGGGACTTACCTTGCCAAACTGTTGGAAGTAGTTCTTAAGATCCTCAGGTGTTGTTGATGCGGCCAGTCCACCCACAAATATCTTCTTTGTCCTTGTCACCGGCTGCAGATGGACAGAGAGAAAAACAATTGATCACTTGTGGGCAAAACGTATTCAAACACAATCACTTTTTCACGACAAAAACTGCAAAAACGATTACGGCTGTCTCCAATTCGTTCTTGTTTCGATTTTATTCACAAACATTGACTGGTGCATGTACAGTTGTCCATTTCTCATCACTTTGGGTCTGTATCCATCTTCGGCTGTGGCATTCAACTAACTGTAAGCTCCCGACAAGTCTGATTCCAGTACAATATGGGTTAAGCCTTAACAAGACTGTTCATTTATTGAGGCCACGCTATGAGTGAATGCAAAATTGAGGCACATTTGACGTCACAAACGTCTGCGACGAATTTCGCTTCAGTTGAAAGTATTACACTGTTGCTAACTTACAGCACGAACACATGTGTACGCTTGCACACTGAGTATGACGTGGTCTAATCCTTACGTATGAACAATATGATACAAAGGTGAAGATGGGAGGTCTTTTACTTGGTTGGAGCATCAAGAGACAAGAAACAGATACCCAAATCAAAGGTAAGGTGACAGTTGAACACAATGCCAACCTCTTTGTCCCTTTAAAAATAGTAATCAGGAACGGTCAAAGAGACATGAAAAGGACTGCACGTTTTTTGAAGACCTGCATGTAAGCATGGAGCTATGATGTAAGCTAGTGTTGCCACAATCAAACCAAATGCTGTGAAGCAGCATTCGACTGGGAAACAATGTCTTGAACGAATGCTGCTCCCGATTCCACTTTGATCATGGTCTGAGCATTTCCAGTGACGCCAAGCCATCCGGACCAGCCTTCTGCAGAGAATTAATGGCGGTTGTTCCGAGGGGAGCCATTAGTAACGTGACTAATACAGTATGCGTCCCTTGCACTATGCCCAAAGTTAATGTTCGCGACGGGTCATTACTGTACTTCCCTCCAACACATATCATGTTGGCATCATTGGAACGGTAAGCATCGGGTCATGGATCATTCAGTCGCGTCAATTATTCAAGTGACGCAGGGCTGTGGATGGTACTTTTTCCCCCTCTTACCAACAGTGCAACCATCCATTACACTTTGGAGTTAAATGATGCACAGAGTGTCAAGCTATGGAGAACTGGTTACTTGATGGTATGTTGCCATTTGAAAGATACGCTCAATATTCGTCTGTCCTTCATACACAGTATTACCTAAGAAATCTATGGAGCCCTCAGAAGGCCATTTTCAGAGTTTCTCATTTTTTAAAAGGTAAAAGCAATTTTTAAAAAAATTCAGTCAAATACATGAATTGTGTAAACAACTACATGTACATGAAAGCATGTTTGGATCCATAGACATGTGTCCAGGCACTGACATAATACTGAAGTTCAGAAAAGGAACAATATCACTGATACAAACATGTATTACAGTATGGCAATGATATATATAGTATATATTCATATACTAGGATACAATTCACAAATGTTCATATCCTGAAAGACACAAACGATCCCCACAACAGAAGACTAAAACAAAAATTAGGTCTAACAACATACATCTTTCAGATTTATTTTTTCATATGTAGGCTGGCAGGTGATGTTGACCATGAATTTTGCCAGAACCGAGAAGTCACTGGAAGTTAGATGAGGGTACAAGAGCTATCACAAACAAAAACAAGAAGCTTTCTGGAACAAAAAAAGGAACAGAATTCCACAGGCCCTGCACTAGAAGCTTTCTGGAACAAAAAAAAGGAACAGAATTCCACAGTCCTTGCACTCTCTTGAAGTGATTTATTTTTCTACTCTTAAAAATTTAGAAACAAATCGACGGATCAAAATGTAGCCTGCACTATGGAAAAAAGACAAACAGGTCAAAGCAACAGAGGGAGAATCCTTGCTTGAGATAGGGAGAAGAGGTTGAGAAGGATTTCAGTTGAGGGAATGCATGGGGGGGGACCCAGTACAAAGATGATGAGAAATAACGAGAAACTAGATGATTCTTAAGGTGTAAGGGGAGGGTGGAAATAGATGTAATCGGCAGATAGACTGCCAAAGGAAACCAGATAAACCAACTTAATGGCACACGAGAAAGACAAAAAAAATCAGGCTGCAAAACTCTCGGGTGATGCGGAAGGAAGAAACAAGGCCTACAGAGCACACGGCGGTGATGGCACAACATGTCAGATGCTAGGTCGACGATTAGGAAAAAAAAAAAAAAAAGCAGGACAGATGAGAAAGGGGAAGAGGATGAAGACTGATGAGAAGGTATCCAGAGCCACGGAGGAGGATGCGGGAGGATAGAGGGGCAAGAGCAGCCGAGGGGGGGGGAAAAAGAGGCAAAGATGAAAGACTAGCTTCTGCAGAGGACGGGGAAGGGTCAGGACAACAGAGAGAGCTTAAAGAGAAAAAAAGTCGCTGGAAAGAGAAGAACGGGTTGGTGATAACAGACGGGATGCGGGCTTGATGATAACGATTTCATGACAGGGCCGGATTGGAAGCACAGTGGTGGGGGGGGAGGTTAAAAAGAAAGGCCACAGTCGTTGAAATCTTCGTCCGTCAGCTTGTGAGATGCTTTCCCCTAATGGGGCAAAACCACTTCCTGACCCCTGATTGGTGTTTGCCAAAGGAATTTGTCCACTGGTGAATCCATTACGCTCGATGGACACCCATTAACAGTGTTGATGTGGAGAGAAAATGCCACTGGTTTACAGGTCACCCAAGTGCAGGTTGCTGATAACAAATCCTGGGAGTTTCGCTGGACGAATGCTGGACATCAGCCCTCATCCTTATAAATGCTCTGTGACCTCTGTCCCTTCCCCAAAATATCAAATCACTGATGTCAGCCAGCGTAGGCAAGAAACAACAGACGAAATAAAACACTGCTTCTCACTGCCCGGTACTGCAACAAACCTTATTCATGGGGAAGCCCTTTTTTTTTATTGTGTTCCAGGAATACTAAATAGGGTGGTGCCAGACTTCCAAAATGCCTGCTGTGCATGTACAATATTATGTGACCCATCTGCAGCGGGTTACCAGCTAAAATGTAGACTTGTGAAGACTGTGACTGGTTGTCTGCAAGGGCTCAATGATATTGTGTGGAATGTTTCAATCTAAGTACTGGTACATGTACACGTAGCTCTCGGCAGTCTGTCTTCCATACAAGTTACTCCCATTGCATCCTGATGAACACAGGAGTGCAGTGTAATGAAAGAGAAAACTTTCACAGTTCCTGTTGATTTCCCACTGCAAAGTCAGGTTTCAGGATCTGACAGGCAAAACAAGCTACCGGTACCCAGACTTTGCACCGGTCCCACCTAGCTTTTTTTTTTTTTATTCAATCTACATGTAGCTACCGGATGTACAGCAAAAGCTGTGGAATGCCTACAAATCCATGTACAAAAGGATGCTGTTGTGCAAGTTCTCTTCCAGGACATGGAAGCAAAATCTAAAGTGTAACAGAAATGACCACTTCATTTACTGGACAGCCAACTGAGATAAGCAACATTACAGCAACAGCAATTAAATTTGTATGCTTAAGATCTTCGTGCAGGGTCCCCAGTTTTTTCTTATTTTTTCCCCTGGCCAAGGTGACCTGGCCATGGTTGTTATCTTAAGAGATGGTGTTTGGCCGTTGTGCATCGATCACGCAGAGAGCAAGCCGGGCGGAAGGCCAATTTCATCTGGACGAGGCAGCGTCGTTATCGTGTCATTTAATTAAACAGCTATTACACCCCCCTGCCCGACCTTGGGTCCTTTTTTCAATGCATCCAGGCCACCTACGCATATAACAGCTCGTCCTGTGGCAGCAGCAGTGTTGCCGTCCCTCGCTAGCTTGGAAAATTATGATTACATAAATTATTAGCTCTAGATGGGTTTCGTTTTTATTACCAAGGTTGCACTGGTATCGCCAGGTAATTACTGTGTAAACTGCTGGTGCGAGTTACAATCGAGTGGTGGGGCATGCGTCCGAGTGTTAGTGTGAGCCAGGTCAGAGCGAGGACATTTAAAATTACAAGCTTGTAAATCATTCAATGCACTTCAGGGAGCGTAACTGTGATGACAGGAGCCTGTGTTACAAAAGCCCAGTGTTGGTCAGTATTCTGATGAAAATTTTAATCAGGAGGCAAAGCTCCAGAATGGACAAAGACACAGGGAAAAAATTATTCAAAACAAAACCAACATTGTAAATTGCTGGGTTTTTTTCAGTAAATCAAAAACAAACGAATGATCAAGTTCATTATTGAGGGTTTGCGTGGCTGCCATGTTCCATGGGGTATGCACAAAAGAGGTTTCCCGGTAGAACTAAAGAACTGCCATGCAAAGCCTCCATAGCCCTTTGAATGTTTGCCTTTATGACCCCCCCCCAAAAAAATTTGTTAATTAGCATTTTTCATACGTTCAATTTTGAACATACCGGTATGGTGTGTTATCGTCCCATTCAAGTACTCAAACAGAAGAGAAATGGGTTAAAAAGTGACTTGATTTTTACATGTGTCAAGTTCATTTTCCAGGCAATTCCCTGCCTCTTCACACCAGATGATTAAAAAAGTGCCATTTTACTCAAAATGCTCTCTCCTCAATTTCCTGGGACAGGCAACAGCACTGGCAGTGTACAATTTGGTGTCAAGCCATGGTTATTAATCAGGCATTCAATGTCCCTTGACACTAGAATAGATGATGGTCCAATGGGTTTCCAGAACAGCGGAGGATTTCCAACGATTCAGGCAACTTGCTAGCAAAACTAGAAAGGGAAGCTTGGGTATATCTGTTGGAGATGAACACAGTCACAAGGAAACCCATGAAGTAGGGACTGGAATAACTTCAACATTGAAGGGAGCCCTCTACTGAGGAGAGGGAAACCTTTGATGTACAGTAATGCCGCATGCGACAGAAGTCCACGTCAACACAGTGTCAATTTCCTTGATGTCATGCCTGATGCAAGGGTTCCCTCCTTCTCTTAGGTATAAACTTCAAACTGGTGGGTGCATGTAATCCATGATAAACTGCCACCCTTGCTTAATCTCAGGCAA